GTGACATATATATATATATATATATATATATATAATTTTAAATATAATTTGGGAATCAATATGTCTCTTTAGTAATAGTGTTAAATCACTATAATTCAGAAATATAGAATAAATCAAAAATTGTTATAATAATTTAGTTTCGCGCTCAATAGAAAATTGTATTGTTTTTCTTAAGAAATTATTTTTTTCTTAAAATTACCTAATTAAAATATGGTTTAATTCATTCTAGGATAGAACATAACTCAAGTTTACGATATTAGTCATAAAAATTACAAAATTTCAATGAACTCAACAAACTAACTGAGCACATGACATTTGCTTTTTTCGTAGAAAATTAAATGCTGATTTGAGGGACATTTTTTCTTTAGATGTCTAAAATAAGGTGAATCATGTGAATATTTATAGCTAGCCATTAGAGAATGAACATGTGCATGTTTGTGAGAAAGGTGTATTTTCTTTTGCTCACGAATCATAAATAAAATAAATGAGTAGAGTAGAAAAATTATCACTATTAATAATCAAAACTCTAACATCTATTTATACCTGAATATAAGTAATATAAAAGTAATTACTACTCCATAAAGATGGAGGTATATTTATTAATAGTACTATATACCAAACAAAAAAAAAATCACCTATCAATATTGCGACTATATAATATTTTTTTAAAAAATAATTCATTATTGATAACAAAAAATTATTTATCTACATAGATAATAGAGAATTAGAGAAAAGATAAAATTTTAAAATACACACATGCATAAATTGAACATACATATATATAATTAATGCATATGATATATTGATATTAAAGTCAATAATACATTTGATGGAAAAGTTCTTTTTTTCTTTTGGTTAGTTGAGTCAAATGAGAAAAGGATAAGAGCCATGTTCCAAGTCTACAAGATTCTTATTTAGAGCTTGAAATTTGTTTTCCTAAAAAATATACAATTTCATTATTTTGATATCTTATAAAATAAAATATAGTTTATAAAAAGAAAAAACTTTTAAAGTATTACGAAAACCAACATATCTATAAAATATCAAAATTAATGATACAATTAACTCCATCTTGATTATAAACACAAATTGATGTTATTACCTATAATTGGAGAATCAAATTGTTAAGCAAATTAAATTTACGATACAAACGAAAGAAATTAATAAAACTATTAATTATACGTCATTATCATTCTTAATTGAGATTACTTTTCTTCTTCAACTTTGTCACATCACCTATGTGGACCTTTCTTGATCGAAGTTTTTTTTAAAAAATAGAATATTTTTTTAATCCATATTGTTGCCCTCAAAAATGAACTTTTCCGTGCATACATACAAACTTAGCTAAATTTTTATATAAATATCAAATACTGAATGGAAAAAAAAAAAACCTTTGAATATGTTTAATATGGAGAAAATTTATTTTGATTTTCCAATATTTGTTTGACCAAAATATAGGCTTAATTTTTTTCTTTCTAAAAGTGAGAAATAACTTCCTTAATTGTGTACTATTTCCACATCGTCCAACATACTTTACCTTTACTCCAACCCACCTCCCATATTATTCGTTAAATATATAAATATGTTTACTTACATATTGAACATAAAAAAAGAAGTAAAATCCACCTATTTTCTCAATTTCTTTTAAGAAAAATATTTTTCCCGGTAGAGATTTGTGTTTATTAAAAAGCATTTTTCCTCACATATGATATTACTTTGTGTGAATTCAAATTTAATCAGAGTCTCAATATAAGTATTGAGGTCGAGTGATAAATAATAATCACACAAGCCGCGTGAACTCACTCTCATCCTTCTCGGTAAGTAAAATGGTAGCGTTTTTTTTTTTTTGTTTTTTTACACGTTATAATATTACTCATATTTTCTTAGTCCAATTTCAAGAAACAACAAGTCAACACAGAAACCCAAGAAAATACGCAAAACATTCACCTAATTTAATATTTTTTGTACAATATATTATATTACCCAAAAATCTAATTGACTGAATTCCAATTTGGAATGTTTTTTTTCTTTCTAATGTATATTTATAGGCACAGAGAGAAGAGGCGAATGATTCAGTAAAACATCCTCATTCTGTACTAAAGAATCATCTTTGAAAAGAGGGAAAAACATGTTTTTGATTCTGGGTCATTCTTGTTCGAATCTTTTTCTTGTATTTCTAGTGTTTACAGTTACTTGTTTTAGTTCTTGTTGGGTTTTGTATGGAGAACAAGTCCAAGGTGGGGATGGTTCGCATAAGAGTTCTACTCTTTCTAGCTTCATATATGCAACTACTGTGCTCAAACCTTATGAATGGAGATACATTAGTGGTAATTTTTTGTATTAGTTGATTAAAGTTTGTATTTTTAACCCTTTTTCTCAAAGGGGTTTTGATTATTCTTTTTGTTTTTGGGAGGGTTGTTGTGGTATGTGAATTTTAAGTTTCATTCTGGGACCTCGACGAAATTTGGGATGATGGGTTTTCACTCTTGTAGAGTTCTTGATATCTTGTTTTATTTGGATGATTTTTCTGTACTTGTTGCTATTTCTTGTATTCATCAATGCAAGAATAGATGAATGTAGCGAGAGATGTATGAGAGCGATAGTTCGAGTTGCTTGTTTCGTTTTTGAGTTGTTTTTACTTTTGATGGTTTATGGATCACTTGTTCACTGATGTATCAGGTGCACTGGGAGGGGGTGGGGTGGGGTGGGGGAGGGATTCTGGGACCTCGATGAAATTTGGGAGACTGAGGGTTGATTCTTTTAGAATTATTGATATTTGTTTCCTGTATTCATCAATGCAAGAATAGATGAGTGCAGCTAGAGATGTATGAGAGCAATAATTCGAGTTGCTTGTTTCATTTTTGAGTTGTTTTAACTGATTGATGGTCTATGGAGTACTCGTTTCACTTAATTATCAGTTGCACTGGGAGGGAGGTGGGGTGGGGGAGAGTTTGATGGAGCAGGGGAGGGATTCTGGGATCTTGGCGAAATTTGGGATACCGGGGTTTGATTCTCTTAGAATTCTTGATATCTATTTCTTGCATTCATCAATGCAAGAATAGATGAATGCAGTGAGAGATGTATGAGGGAAATATTCCGAGTTGCTTGTTTCATTTTTGAGTTGTTTTAACTGATTGATGGTCTATGGATCACTTGTATCACTAATGTATCAGTTGCACTGGGAGGGGATGGATGAAGTTAGGGGTACTGGGTTTTGATTCTTTAGAATTTTGTTATCTGTTTCTCTGTATTCATCAATGCAAGAATAGATGAATGCAGTGAGAGATGTATGAGGGAAATATTCCGAGTTGCTTGTTTCATTTTTGAGTTGTTTTAACTGATTGATGGTCTATGGATCACTTGTATCACTAATGTATCAGTTGCACTGGGAGGGGATGGATGAAGTTAGGGGTACTGGGTTTTGATTCTTTTAGAATTTTTGTTATCTGTTTCTCTGTATTCATCAATGCATGAATAGATGAATGCAGTTAGAGATGTATGAGAGCAATATTTCGAGTTGCTTGTTTCGTTTGAGTTGTTTTAACTGATTGATAGTCTATGGATCACTCATTTTACTGATGTATCAGTTGCTTTGATGTAAATGTGTAATCTCTTGTTCTGATTCAACCAACTGGTTTTGCTTATTTATTCTTGTTAGTATTTCCTTAGTTTCAAAACAGAAAAAATCCTTAGCCATGAGCTGCTCGCTCTGTTATTCAGCAGTTGTGGATTTAGCTTGTTCTCTGCCTTCAGTGTTTGTAATGTTCAATTATTAATTACTCCATTCTAGCTATCTTGGTTTTGTTTGTGAAGTATCAGTATTTACATCTATCTATGTAAATTTTTGAAAACTGGTTTTTTACAGGCAGATTAGTGCTATCTTATTTTTTAGTCTCTCTTGTTTTTCAAATGTACCCTATCTGGATTTCCTTATTCGATGGCTATCTTTAGAGATGTTTCTGCGTTGGTTGTATCACGGATAATTGTGTGACGAAGTGTTAAATGGAGAATATACTGTGTTGTGACTTCAAACAGTTTAAGGTTTCTTTCCTTTTTAATTAATGGCTTACTGGTTTTGGTTTCCATGCCTTTCTGCAGTGGACTTACCACCATGGTTCTCTTCGGTGACTATTGCTTTGGAATCCAATATTGGCGTTGTAAGTGCATGACCGAAACTTTCATCATTGAAATGTTCTGCTTATAACTTTGGAATCTCTTTTTGGTTGTCTTTAATATGATTATGCAATTTGCTCCTTTTGCCCACTACAATTTCTCTGTTTACTTTCTTGATATTGGTGCTAAAGAATTTTTTCCGCTGACCATACTGTGCTTTTAATCCCAATAATTATCCTTTTACAATCTTTAATTCCTGAATTTAACTGTATGCAGGACCTGAAAAGAATAGGAAAAGTAAGTACTTTGCCGATGATCTGCTTCCGAGAAGGAAGTCCGCCCCTTCCAGATGTTTATAACACTTCTCTTACAGGTCTAGGTACAAAAATCATTCTCTGAACTGACTGAGCATGCCAAATCATGTGGCCTGAAGTAACTAATAATATTAGTTTTTCTCTGTAGTGATAGACCATATTTCCAATAGTTCCTTTGGAGGATCACAAGATCTTCAAATGGTTGAGAAGTGTTATCCTATGCAGAAAAGTGTATCCTTGATGTTGACAAATGAGCAGGTTTATTCTTAACTTTGTAATATATGTGGGTTAGTTTCTTCTTTGTAGTATACTAGCTTCTCCATTTGAGAGATAAATTTCTTTTCAGCGGTGGTCTTATGCATGTTAACTTGGGTTTGAAATAAGTTTTTTCACAGATTCGTCCAGGAATATGGTATTTTGGGTTATTTAATGGCATCGGACCTTTAAGGACACAATCAAAAATGGTACTTGCTCTAACTTATTTATATTCCGCATCTTGGCCATTATCTTTTGCGCTTCTTTCTTATGGGCATTTCTATTTGAGTTTTCAACATATGATCAGATAGACATTATTTATTTGTTGAAATGATCTTCTGATGTATCTGAAATTTCTCTCTGAACATCTCTATGTGATCAATTAATACCCTGTGTTTTTTTAGTTTTAGTAAAAGAATTGAACTCGATTTTCTCTCCTATTTACTACAGAGATAATAATCAAATTATCACTACATTTATCTCTTTTTCTACCTAAGCAGAGGAAGTAAAAGAGGAAAGGCCTGCTCCTCTTCTTTGGCTTGAACCTAAAGGGATAGTGCAAAATGAAAGAGGAGAGCTAACATGATTGATCTTGTTTGGGGTTAATCATTCACATGAGCTCTTCCAGTAGTTCAAAAATAATGACTTTGACTTCCACCAACTCTGTTGCTACTGAACCTTAGAGAAATGTGGGGACATGGCATGCACCTGCTCTTTTGTGGTTGGCATGCATTTTATGAAACTAGTGAAAAGGATTTCTAAGTGGAAAGAAATTAGGAAGTGGTAGATTTGTGAGAGCGTTGTAGAGTTGTAGTTTATGTTGCTAATAAAGGAACAACACCTCTAGGTTAAGAATGGGCATAGCAATCTGACAAAGTTCTAAGATACGAGTACACATTAGTGAGGAAGTGTTCCGCCTGAGAGAGAAGCCTGCTCTCTTCCTTGTGGGGCAGTTGTTAGTGAGGAGGGATACATACTGAAAATTGTTTCCTCCAAACTTGTAACGAAATTTTCCTCTGTAAATACTTGCCAGCAGTTTTGCTACTTTTTAATACAATACCTATACCAATCAAAAAAACATAATTTGTTTCCTCCAAAAGGTAGCAGGTGTGTCTTAAGTTCCACTGGATTGTTTACTTGTATGATGAAGATTTGTGTTCCTTTGTCATAACAATGAAAGAAATACTACTCTATCAATTAACCTGGAGATTCTAAGAATCTAATCTCACTCCCCCAACCCTTGGAGTGAAGCTTACCACTGTGAAACAAATATCATTCTTTTAAAGTCGTAATACCATCATTTCAACGGTTTAATATCTTAGCTAGCTAATTTCTATTGACTGATTTCTCTTTGCAGATTAATCGAGGACATTCGTACTCATTCAGTGGTAATATAACTGTGGAAGGCTGTACAAATTCAGCTATGCTGGGCAAATTCTGCAACCAAACAATCAGTTTACTCTCATGTTCGGATACCTATATATCTCCTGAAAGTGGAATAGGTATTCAAACTTGTTGAAGTGTGTGACCATCTCATCTAATAGATCTGTTAGAGAGAGTGCCCTTTTATTTACTTAATTATATTCAGGGTCCTGTTTCTTTTTTCATGGGCTAAAGCATGTGAAAATTCTTTTTGATAATGGGTGGTGGTGACATTCGATATCAGGACCTCTGTTTGCTCTTATACCATCTCATCTAAAAGCTTAAGCTGGTAGAGAGAGCATACTTTTATTTACTTAATTATATCCTTAAATCTTATAAAACTGCAGCCAATATGACTCCCTGTGGAGGTACCGAGGAGAGCTGTCTTGACGTAGCTGGGTCAAAAGTCTACTCATTGGATGTAGTGAGTATTGCCGAGAAGATAATAATCACAGCATTAAATATCACGTTTACTCAATCACAGCATTCTAATGGGGCCATCAATAGCAGCGGACATTCCCTGATGTGTTATGTTCGGCATGGAACTTTACCGCAGCCACAACTGTATGATTATTCTGCTGATATAAACAGATCCCCATTGGTCATACCTTTACCTAGACTTGGTCGTTGGTATATTAAAATACTGCCAGCAAACCTGTCAGAAAGAACGTCGGCAATCCAAGAAATGAACACTACAATATGCTATTCATTGGAATGGCAAGTACTTCGGTGTCCTGCGGATAAGGCTGGATTGAACTGTACAACAGCAAAATACACACTTCAGGTGGACTTTTAAGGAGTTTGTCTGCTTCAATCTTTCTCAAAACTTCTCATTAATTTTGTATACTTGTTTACTTGCACATTAATATTGAATTATGTATGGTCATTGTGGATTTGGATAACTCAATTTCCTGCTTAATAAAAGAAAATGATACACTAGATGTATAGATACACATTTTCTCTTCCAGTGCAAATAGCACGTATCAAAGCTGACCTGATTAGTTTGCCAATCATTTCATGTCTTTTTTTTTGGGGTGGGGTGGGGGGTGGGGGGTGGGTCTTGGACTAGTAGCAGGACTTTCCATTAACAACCTTGTACCTCGTAATTGTTCTGTGCAGACGTTTCTGAAAAGAACTCCATATGTCGCTTTTGAATCCTATTATCTACCTATCAGTGGAGAAGTTTCCTCAGGCTCTGCTAGTTTTCCTTTGGGACCTCTTTTGAGTAATTCCTCTGATGGGGATTACACTTGGACCTTTTTCCTTCTGGACATTCCCGATGGTGCTGCTGGCGGAAATATTCATGTCCGCGTTACATCAGAAGCAAAGATAAGTGGGGAAATATATGCCAGATATGGTGGATTTCCCTCTCTTAGTAATTGGGATTACTTCTATTCAAACAGCACAAGCAACAGCAATGGTTCCATGTTTTTTAAGTTATATGATGCAAGTGATAAATTCATTAGCTTTTATATCATATATGCTAGAGGAGGAACATGGAGTTTTGGGTTAAGGCACCCAATTTCAAACAGGCATAGTTCGACAGTTGAAACTACCATGTCTATCTCACTAGAGAGATGCCCAGAGAAATGCTCTTCGCATGGGGCATGCAAGTCTGTGTTGGATTCAAGTGGTCTCACATTCTACAGGTTCATATATGACGATTTCTGAAGATGGAGTTATTGGGTTCGATTCATGTTCTCATGCAATAAATCTGTCTTTTTCAGTTTCTGTGATTGTGATCGACGCAATGGAGGCTTTGATTGCAGTGTTGAAGTGGTTTCTTCTTCAGGTAAAGCATTGTATTTTTGTGGCATTCGGACTTATGTCAGTGTCTTAGCCATTTTAAGAGAACTGTTGCTACATCCTCTGTTGTTTCTTTGTTTGTTTGTATTTTTGAAAGTCTTCACTTAGCACTTAAAATTGAATCTGGAACTAGACGTTGCAGATTAGAGTAACCAGTTACTGTTTGCACAATCAGTACTATCTCGAGTAAACCTGTCAATCTATTCAATGTAGGATAATATGAGGAGCAACATTTGTGTGTTCTGCATGCTGATAGCTTGCTCTGATCATGATTCAGTTTAAACCATTTCAATTGCTTCATGTGTTTCACCAAAAAAAATAAAAAATAAAAAATTGCAACATTATGTTGCCAACATGTCTTTCAACATGCTCTCTGCTATTGCTAGTACACTCTTGATTACTATTTGTTTGCTTATGTTTTGCTAAAATGTTAACTCATTAAGTTCCCATAAGTAGCCAATTAATTATGCAATGGATCTTTTAAAGGACAAGTGCTGAAAACTCATGTAGGGCAAATGTGGCAATCGATTTCCCTTATTGGATCCAATGCTGCAGCTTTGCTCCCTGCTTACTGGGCCCTCCGTCATAAGGTGATATTAGCTAATCCCGTAACATCCTAAGGCAATTGATTTCTTCTGATTGATATTCAAGTGAAGAGGCTGTTAAAATCAGATATCTAGGGTTATATTTCAGCAGACAAACTTTATCAGAGTGTGGGTATAATAAAAAAAAATTCAGTGGACAAGCGGATGAACTTGAGGTAGAGCTATACCTTGGATTCTTCATTTTTCTATGGTTAAAAGGTTCTCCTTTCTTCTGCAGGCATTTGCTGAATGGGTTCTTTACACATCAAGTGGTATCTCAAGTGGCCTGTATCATGCATGTGATCTTGGCACTTGGTGTCCATTGTCCTATCATGTCTTACAGGTATCACTCCTATGGATTATGCTATATTGCATTTTTGCATCGTGGCTAAGTAATTATGTGGTTTCCTTTTTGTTGATCGGCCCCAGTTCATGGATTTCTGGCTCTCTTTCATGGCTGTTGTTAGTACTTTTGTGTACTTGTCTACTATTGACGAAGTTACAAAGAGGGCGATTCACACTGTTGTTGCAATCCTGACAGCCCTCATGGCTGAAAGTGGACCAACCAAGTAAAATTCCTCTTTTTTCAGTAGAAGTTTGGATTTGGTTTTCTTGTCATTGAACTGTTTGAATCAGCTTTAACTTGGTCAACATTTACAGGTCCTCAAACATTATTCTTGTCGTCGCTATTGGTACTTTGGCTCTGTTCATTGGGTTCCTCATTGAATTCTTTAGTCATCATAGATGGATTTCCTTTTCAACAGAAATTTGTTTGAACATGCTCAACAGGTATGTGGATTTTTTGTTCTAAAAATTTAGACATGTAAATTTTTAGAACAAAAATATAAATTTATTATTTGTTTTAATATCTAATAAGTCAGCTAAGTATGATTTTGAATGCAGATGGGAAACTGTAAAAGCATGGATTCATAATTTCATTCGGTCACTTCTGAAGCGTTTTCGGTGGGGCTTTCTACTTGCGGGATTCACTGCATTAGCAATGGCTGCTATTAGCTGGAAACTTGAAACAAGTCAAAATTACTGGATATGGCACAGGTCTGAAGAGCTATCAAGCATTTCTCCTATGTCTTTTTGACTCTCTCTCTCTCTCCTGTTCTTTCTCTGACATCTTTCATATCTCATTTCTGCAGTGCATGGCATGTTTCGATATATACTTCTTCATTTCTTTTTCTCTGTTCAAAAGCAACACCAGTAAACTGTGAGAACGAACAACCTCGATCAGAGAACTATGAGTTGGCTCGGCAAAATTCTTTCAGTGGTAGTAATGAAAGAGGTGGTAGATAGTTCATACTAGAATCTACTTTAGCCCAAGCACATAACATATAGAGGCTAGAGCTACTTGATGCTGAGAACGTACGATGAACTGCACCAAGAAGTCACTTCTCTACATTAGGCAGGTGATTAGTGGATAAGGAGAAGCAAATGTGTCAGTCGTTTTTAACAATCAAAAAAAAAAATGTTTGTTAGTCATTCTCAAATAGTTTTTCTTTTTCTTCTTTAAAGTTTTACTTGGCTAAGGGATACACCAATGGTGTCCTGTTTATAGGAACCAAAAGCAGAAAAGGTCCATTTTGTGTAGTCAGGAAAGTTATAGCTTACAATAGGGAAGATGAAAAGGGAAAGAAGATTGGTGCTAGGTATAGTAACTTTGTTTTAATTCTTTCTCCGTTGAGTCAATACTGGTAGCGGAGATGCAAGGCAAACCACACAAGTTCATATATTGGTGAAGTCTGTAATGAAATTGTTCCAATGATGAGTCCTATTTATAAAGTCCCATATATACTGTTGCATAGCCCACTGTTCAATTGTTTGTACGTATTACACTTGTAGCAGATGTTATGTGAAATGGGTAAACCATGAAAGTTTAGTATCAAAAGAAAGAGAGAGGAATGTACATTCTCTGAATGGAAGTTTGAATCTTCTCATTATACAGATCCTTGTGAAGCTACAGGTAAAATCTGAGTTTCTTTCAGAAATAAATCTCTACGGACAAGAAGCCAACAGTATAGACAATCTCCCTTCACAGTCTTGCAAAAAAAAAAATGTTTACTGTAGATACCATGTACTTGTGTTTCCCTGAAAAGAATGTCGCGGAGCCTCCATCCATCAAAAGGTTCTTTTGGCTTCCTGAAGCTTAGGGTTTGGCTTGAGATCATACTAGTGCATAACAATTAGATGACAAAATTTTCTTGTGTTTTAGGAGCCTTTAATATAATTTACACAACTGTTGTGCAGAGGTTAACCTTTCATCAATCAGTCTGGCAACCCTTGCCTTGCTCTTGCTACATATTCAATCTCATTCTGTTTCCTAACAACATCCATTCCCTGTTCTCCTCCATTTTCATGCTCAAAGCAGCCCAAGTGTTTGCAACTGCAGCGAAGTTTTAGTAGCTTCATGCTAATGTGTTGATTCCATGAGTAATAATTTCCATGCTACAGCCTGGTGATTTGTTATGCAACCGCTCTCTAGCCAATTCCCAGATCAAGGCTGCATCAGGCCAATTACTATCAGAGGCGCACAAGTTTGACATCAGGACGTAAGTAGCAGTATCATTTGGATCTGTCATGAAAAGCTTTTCTGCAGCCCATTTTGCCAATTTCATATCTCCATGGATTCTACAAGCGCCAACGAAAGCCTTCAGGGCATCTGGTTGGGATTCAATTGGCATTGAGTTTAGAACTTCATAAGCCTCATTTAGAAGGCCTAATCGTCCAAAAAGATCTATGAGACAGGCAAAGTGTTCTGAGCTTGGCACAATTTGGTAGTAATTAGTCATCAAACTGAAGTACTGCAGCCCTTTACTAAAGAGACCACCATGGCTACAGGCAGAGAGAACCTCTAGAAATACAATACTATCTGGCTTCACACCATTTACCAACATTTCCTCAAAAAGTTGAATAGCTTCCTTTGAAAAGCCATGGGATGCATAAGCTCCAATCATTGAGGTCCATGAGAAAAGATCTGGTGCTTTTATTGAGCTGAAGGACTGGTAAGCATGAGCTATACTACCACACTTTGAGTACGCATTTATTAATGCATTTCCAATTGATATAGAATTTGAGAATACATATTTAACTGCATAAGCATGAACTTGTACAGTTTCAGTGGCCATTGATAAGTTACCACATGAACTAAGAACACTAGCCAAAGTGAGCTCATCAGGAACAAAATCCTCTCTTACCATCCTTTTTAGAAGTTCCATAGCTTGCTTCCCATCTCCACGGCGTCCATAACCTACAATAATTGTGGTCCAAGAGACTACATTTCTGAAGGCCATTGCATCAAAAGCCTTGCGAGCATCGGTTATATGTTCATTCTTTGCATACATATCAACAAGTGCACTTTCAACCACCACATCCTTGTTAAGGCAAACTTTAATAACAAGTCCTTGGATCTGCCTACCTGTCTCATAAAGCCCCAAACTAGCACAGGAATTAAGTAGACTAGCAAATGTAAACTCATCCCCCTCAAACCCCTCCAATCTCATCAAACTGAATAACCAAAAAGCCTCTTCACCCAAACCATTCAGTACATAGCAAGAAATCATAACATTCCATAACACCAAATCACGTGCCAAAACCCCATCAAGAACACACCTAGCCTCTCCAATCAACCCAATCTTCCCATACAAATCAACAAGAGTGGCACCAAGAAAACAACTTTGATCATATCCCAACTTCACGATAGCACAATGCAACTCCTTGGCCAACCAAACACCACCCTTTAACTCCACACAAAGTCGGAGCAACCCACAGAAAGTAATGCAATCAGGAGATACCGATTCCATCAACATTTGCTTGAAATAACAGAACCCCAGATAACCATTTGTCTTGAAACGCTCAACAGAATACCTTAAACCACATATCAACGTATTCCAAGTAACAATATTTCTAACACACATTTCATCGAACACCTTGCACGCATCAACAAACTCGCTGCATTTTACATAAACTTGCAAGAGCTGATTTCCCAGGGAAAGAACATTTGTCATACCCAACTTAATAACATTTCCATGTATATATTTCCCTTCATCAAGATTGCCCATTTTCGCCGAAATTTTAAGGGCATTGGAAATACATGAATCATTATTAACTGAAACTTCCTCTCTAGCTAAAAGTGAACTACAGGTATCAACAATGGTCGATAGAAATAGTAACTGCTGATTGAAGTAAATCGTCGGAATTGGAATAATTCGATATTTGATAATCATGGATCAAGATTGAGCAATCCTTTTGTACTGTTCAACGTTTCGAGTTAATTATTCAGATGATCACTTAATATTGTATAATTATTCATTATTAGATTGAACCATTACTAAAAAAATGACTTATACTTTAAACAAGTTTAAAGAGTAATTTAATGTATTTTTATCTTAGGTTCGTTTCGTTCAAAGAAAAATTATCGTGAATTATAGCTTTGAGATTGTAACCAAGAAGAATGTGAGGTTACATTTCAAAAATGATGATTTTAGAATAAGTTTTATCTTGAATTTAATTGTATTTAATGTGAAGTGATTGACTAATCAAATTCTGAGAATATATTTGCCATACTGTTTATGAATTATCATATGATATATTTTAAGATATAAATAAATGGACGGTAGCAGCTAGGAGGAATGTGACTTTGTCTACAGGTAATGAAGAAAGAAGAATTGTCTGTTTCACTCAATTATTATTAGCCATAGATTGTTTTGATTATTATTATTATTATTATTATTATTATTATTATTATTATTATTATTATTATTATTATTATTATTATTATTATTATTATTATTATTATTATTATTATTATTATTATTATTTTGATTATTATTATTATTATTATTATTATTATTATTGTGGTTATAATAAAGAATTGTCAGCCGCAATGCTGATCAGTGATCACCATTAATTTAAAGTGGTTATCTTTTTAAGCAAGTTGGTACAATGTTGACAAGAATGTCATCACTTGTTGTCACCACTTCAACCATGAATTCATATATATTGATGGATTCAACTTTAAATAGTTTCACCTAACAAAATTTTCACTTTTGGCGCAATTTTATATCATCTCTTGCGTTGTGACTAGGGGTGTACAAGTTAAATCGAACCGATGAATTAAATCAAATCGAAAAATAATAATAATTTGTGGTTTGGTTTGGTTGATTTGGCGGTTGAAAAAAAAACCGACCACTCTTGATTTGGTTTGGCATTAAAAGACAAAAAATCAAACCGAATTCAAACCAAACCGACATAATATATATATATATATATATATAATTTTATTTTAATTTATAATCTACTTTGTTAATATATTTTTAGTTAGTTTATAGTTTTCAATGTTTATGTATTTTATTTCAAATTTGGGATTGTAAATATTTTATATATAATTTTATTTTATTTATAGATTAAAAATATTATTTATAATCTACTTTGTTAATATATCTTTAGTTAGTTTATAGTTTTCAATGTTTATGTATTTTATTTCAACTTTGGGCTTGTAAAATTTGAAAATATTTTATTATGTATAAAGATCTGAAGTTACAATTATATTGTTTAGTTTTTCAAATTCGAAGTTACCAATTTACTTTGTAAATATTTTGTTTTGTATTCAGTTTGACTGTATCCTTTAATCTTATTAATTTAACATAATGAACGTTGATATTTTAAAAAATAAATAAATTGTACTCATGTGAATTTTATTATCTTTACAAAAATTTCTATTCATTTAACATTTCTTAAACGAAATTTTTTATTCATTTAACATTCCTTAAATCACACATGTAAGTGAAAATATATACCGTATAGTTGTAAAAAACTGACTAAAATCGAAACCAAAAAAATTGACTTTGTGTGGTTGATTTGGTTTTTAGATTTAATAAACCGACTTGGTTTAGATTTTTTTTAATGAAAAATCAAACCAAACCGGCCTATGTACACCCCTAGTTGTGACAGCCAACAAAGAAGATGACAACTTCTAATCTTATGTTCAAAGGATTATATATACGTATATGATTTTTTACCGAGAAAGTTGGATGAAAACCCTCTCGACCCTTAGATCCGCTTGTGACTATGCGGCTAAAGTCTCACGGATTCATGTCTTTCTCAATCGATATTTTAGCTAAGTCAATGCTTTATGTTGTAACCTGTCCTTTTTCCTTTTGAGTTTATGTTGTAAAATATGTCTACTATATATACATTTTTGTCCACACTTCAATTTGCTCATTGGGTTGTTTGCACTATACTTACCAAACATCATTTTGATAAATTATGCTTAAGCAATGACCACCATAATAATAATAATAATAACATATTTAATGTAATTTCACAAGTGAAGTGAAATATGAAAAAGGTATAATAAAAACAGACCTTATCTCTATCACTGTGGGGGTAAAAAAATTGTTTCTGATAAGCCCTTCATTCAAAAGAATTTTTTTCAAATAATCATATTAAAAAAGACCAATATATCATTGTTAATTTACATATATTTTTGTGAAAACTTGTTTCAAATAGGTTTCGTGGTGTAGTTGGTTATCACGTCAGTCTAACACACTGAAGGTCTCCGGTTCGAGTCCGGGCGAAGCCATTTTGCACATCGGTTTTTTCTGTCTATTCCGACCACTAAACTTTGTACTATTGTCATTGAACTCCCTTCTTTATTAAAATGGAAGTAACCCCTTTTTTTCAGTTTTTTCTTTGTCATTCTCTCAAGTCAAGCAGCAGCCTTTTCTTCTTGTTCATCCCACTAGTGGCTAGTTACCATTTTAAGCTTATTCTTTCCAAAAAACACAAATAAAAAAAGAATCTTTAGCAAGTTGAAGGTTCTTTTTTTCCCTTGTTGGTGTTTCTGGTGTGCCACTTCTTGTTTTTGGAACTGAAGTTGATTTTTATGAGATACATTTAAAAACTGAAGGTGGGTGTGGTTAATTTTTTGGATACTTCCATTGGGTTGCTTTGAACTGATTTTACTCGAGCCGAGGTCTATCGGAAACAATCTTTTTGGGTATCCTTTCCAAACTTCACTTAGTGAGATTATATTGGGTGTGTTGTTGTTTTACTTTGATTGGGTGTGGTTTATTTATTAGGTGTATTTTGTGAAGATTCTCTTTTTCTTAGCATTTCAAGCAAAATATTTTAGTGTGGTTATTGGTAAAGCTTCTGTTTTTCCTCCTTTTGTCTTGTTTCTAGTGTGCCACTACCTCTGTATGTAAGTCTTCTTGAAAGTTGAAACGGAAAGTGTGTAATTTTTTACCTTCTGAATTCTATTTTGTCTGGTCTATTGGTCAGGTTGTGTAAAGATTCTGTTTTTTTGCTGAGTTTGTTCTATTAATTTCTGTTGTCTTTTAGCAAAAGGGGTTCTCTCTAGTTCTTTCTGATGTGCCACTGCTATTTAATGTGTTCTTTGGAAACTGGAGGTGGTTCTTGCCAATTTATCTAAAATTTGTTGAACCCAACTAGTTTAAGATTGACTGATTGAGACATAGTTGTTTAGGTCTAGTCTATTAATCAGTTTTTTGGTCTAATAATTCTGCTTTGCTTGTGTTTGTAATATTAGGTCTCTTGTCTAGGTACAGGTGCTGTTTTTCCTTAATGGGGTTTTTTGGTGTGCCATTGTCTTTGTATGTGTATGCTTCTGAGACTGAAAGTGGGTGCAGTTAGAAATTCTGAAATGTGTATACTTATCAGGTTTCATGTGTAGTGCTTCTGTTTTCTCCGTTTTGCTAATATTTCACTTTTCTTAGTTAATGTTTTCTAGAAAGCTTAGTTTCTTCGATATCATCGATGAATTTTGGTACCAGAATTATGGTATCAAGAGTTTGACTGCTAGTACTTGTTGGTTCTTTGTTAACCTCAATAATTTTTTAGGGTATGGACTATAGGGTTTTTTTCACTTCAGGGGAACTTTTCTATTTTGCTCAGTAATCGTTTGTTATGGTTAGAATACTCATAGGAGTGTTGAAGCTTACTGCTTTGTTTATTGTTATTGCAATTTCCATTGCTTTTTGAAGATAGGTACCTGCTAACTCCCAATAGTATAGGTAGGGGTAGCTCCGTACACCAAGCCCAAGCAAATGCGAAAAGAATCACCAAGTGTTTTTTTCTCTGCTCGGGTTGAACCCTAGTCTCCAAAGGTATGCACCCACCCCATTGACAATTAGGATACACCTTTGGGTAATTTTATAAGCTTGAGTGTACATTAAACATCATTTGCTTCTCTAAGTCAGTTCTTATGCAATCTTTGGAACATGTTCAGTACAAAGTCTCCATCTCGAAATTGGAAGGCTCAAATGATGCGACAAGTATTCTAATGGTGGACTGTCAAGTCTGTGTATAACTTTGTTTCTATGACTCTTGTGACAACTATTTTAACTATGAAAATATTGGTTGATAGACAGGACTTGTGAGAGCTCTACATGGAATTGGAAAATCATTGTTGAACATAAAGTCTGTCGGTCTGTATTAACTATCCAACCGTTTTGTACAAAGAAGTGATTTATTCACCAATGCATCATAATCACAGAATATGGACTCTTCAGTATGTTATGGAGAGAAAAGTACGGAAGAGCAAATGCGCTTCTTCAAACTATAACCCAAGTACTTAGCTTGCTTTGAGGGATAATTTAATTCTAAACTGTTATAGCTGATGTGTACTGCGTTGGATCAAAGTAGTTTTATGTTCTTGTTTCAAGGAGCTCTTTTATGTGGTATTCTTGATCCTGGTCTTCTTTTTGAATTTCTATGTTGCCTTACTGGCTGTTAACCATTCATTTCTTTTTGTGCCTGTATAATTCTTAATGCCCATCTCTTCTTTTGTGTTTCTGCAGTGAATTGTCCCCCTTCATACAGACGGAGAAGGTAATGTGTTGGGAAATAAGACATATACTTGGATAACTAAAACAGCTGCAAGATGGGTGGTTGCTGTTGCTCTTCAAGGAAGCCTCCCCAGCTTCATGGAACACAAGTATTTTACTATGTTAGTAATCTGTTCCAATCACTCTACATATGGAAACATGCAACTAGCTTAAGCGCTTTCAATTTTGTCCTATTAATGCATTTACTTTCTGTAACCTTGTGTTATTTGCACTAGTCTGTGTTTGTTAAATAGTATCATATTTCTTAAAATGGTAGCTCATTGAATTGTAAGTGTAATCCCTGCTCAGGCAGTTTCTTACTGCCTTTATGGTGCTTAGTCTAATTGACTTGACGTGAGATTTCACATTGTTTTGGTAAGAAACACTCCTTTTTACCGTTTGATTGGTTTATCATTAATATTGCATTGCTACAGCTCATGC